TAGATCTGGAGCCATTACAATGAATCTTGCTCATAGCTCCAACAGCTTAAACTTAGTAGTGGCCATGTCTGACTTCCTCTGACTCCACATGGGGGAAAGAGGACCAAACTCAAAATCAAGGCCAAGTCCTGTGAAGTGAAGGTCAGACATGCCTCCACCCTATATCAGTACCTTTAAAATTAGTCAGACTTGAGAACCAATTTAGAAAACTCATCCTTATGATTTTGTTTCTTTAAAACCCCACTTTCAGTACCATATGTCCTAGGCCAGGTTTGCTAGAGAAACAAAACCAGTGAAACATATATGTAGAGAGAGAGAATTTTATTATCTTAGATTGTAGAATCCCAGGTCCCCAGCAGAAGAGAGTGAGCCCTTCACAAGTGTGCATTGGGATCAGGCCACACTGCCAAGGAAGCGTCCCTTCAGTTAATTGGCTGTGCCTGTATTAGGTTTCACCATAGGAATAAGCACATCCCAACTACTAAACGTCTGGGATTCCTGGTCTAGTCAAGTTGACACAGAAACCTAAGCATTACACCACCTGAGATCTTTTAATGTTGGCTCCCAGGCAGCCCCATGACTTGTCTGCCAGTTTGTCATATTGTGGTAGTTTTTGTCCTGCTGTGATATTGGAAGCTATGCCACCAGCATTTTAAATACTAGTGGGGTCACCCATGGTAATCAGGTTTCAGTGGAGTTCCAGACCAAGACAGACTAGGAAGAAGGAGAAGCAGATTACTTCTGAATAGTTAACCACTGTAAACCTTATGAAGAGCAGCAAACATTTTTATTGTCTGAAATATTACCGGAAGATGAGCCCCTCAGCTTGGAAGGCATTCAAAATATAACTGGAGAAAAACTGCCTCTTCAAAGTAGCGTTGACAGTAATGACATAGTCAGAACAAAGTATTCAAGACATTCATTTGCTGATGGGGCACAACTCAAAATGAGAGAAAAACTGCTGGAGACAGTCATTAATATTGGAATGTGGAATGTACAAAGTTTGAATCCAGGAAAATTAGAAGTAATTAGAAATGAAAGTGAACACATAAAGATTGATATCTTAGGCATTGTAGTTGTTATTAAGTTCCGTTGAGTCAGTTCTGACTCATAGCAAGCCTATAAAGGGTTTCTGAGGAGCCAGAGGTGGGTTTCAACTGCTGACTTATGGTTTGTAGTCCAGTGCTGATCCTACAGCACCACACCAGGAGTCCTATCTTAGGTATTAATGAGCTTAAATGGACAGATATTGACCATTTAGAATTAGATAATCATATGGTTTACTATACCAGGAATGACAAATTGAAGAGGGTCACATTCATCATCAAAAAGAGCATTTCATGATCTGCCTTGAAGTGGCACTATAGGGTAAACGCTGGACTGCTAACTGCAAGATCAGTGGTTCAAATCCTCCAGCTACTCCCTATACAGGGTCTCTATGAGTCATACTGACTCCATAGCACTTATCAGCAGCAATCACACAAGGAAAACCAGTTAAATCCACTATTATTTTTAAGCATCAACTACTAAAGCCAATGGTGATGAAATTGAAGAATTCTACCAATTTCTTCAGACTGAAACCTATCAAACCTGCAATCAAGATGCATTGATAATTACTGGTGATTGGAATGCAAATGTTAGAAAGAAAGGAAGGAACGATCATTGGAAAATATGGTCTTAGTAATAGAAGCAGTGATGCAGATCACAATAGAACTTTGCAAGACCAATGACTTATTCATTGCAAATACATTTAACAGTGACTATACACATAGATTCAACAGATGAAATGCACAGCAATTAAATTGACTGTATCTGTGGAAAGAAACAATGGAGAAACAGTATCATCAGCCAAAGAAAGACCAAGGGCTGACTGTGGAATAGACCATCATTTGCTCATATGCAAGTTCAACTGAAACTGAAGAAAATGAAAATAAGTCCATGAGAGCCTTAATTTGGCCTTGAATCTATTTGACCTGAATCTATTTGACCTGAATTTGCCCATCTCAAGAACAGATTTGATACATTAGATACTAATGACTCAGATGCAGAAGATAATGTGGAACTTGGAACCATCTGAGTAAGATATAATTGCTGACATCTGATGTAGGTTGGCTTAAAGTAAAGAACACCAGAGAGATGTTTACTTGTGTTTTATTGATTGTGCAAAGGCATGCAACTGTGTGGATCATAACAAACTAAGGATAACATTGTGAAGAAAAAGAATCCCAGAACACTTAATGTGAAATCTATAGCAGGTCCGGTCAGTTGTACTATCTTCAGAACAAGGGGATACTAAATGGTTTAAAATCAGCAAAGAGATGCACCAGAGTTGTATCCTTCCCCCATACTTGTTCAATCTGTATGCTGAGCTAATAATTTGAGAAACCAGACTATATGAAGAAGAAGTTGATATTAGGATTGAAGGAAGATTCGTTAACAACTGCAATATGCAGATGATGACATAACCTTGCTTATTGGAAGGGAAGAGAACTTGAAATACTGACAAAGATCAAAGACTGGATTGCACCTCAGTATAAAGACAACAACACTCCTCACAAGTGGACTCACCAATAAATAACATCATTTCAATGGATAGAGAAAAGATTGAACTTTTTGAAGACTGTATTTTGCACGGATCCAGTGCTTCCACAAATGAATTACTTCCATAAACCAATGTTCATGGAAACAGCAGTCAATAAATCAAACAATGTATTGAATTAGGCAAATTTGCAGCAAGAGACCTCTGTAGTATTCAAGAGAAAAAATACCAGTTTGAGGACAAGTTACACTCACCCAAGCTGTGGGATTTTCAGTCACCTCAAATACATGTGAAAGTTGGACATTGAATAAGGGAAACCTCAGAGGAATTGATGCATTTGAATTATGGTGTTATAGAAGAACATTGAAAATGTCATGGATTACCGGAAAAGCAAACAAGTCTGACTTGGGAAAAGTACAGCCCAAATATTCCTTAGAAGCCAGGATGGCCAGATTTTGTGTCTCATACTTTGGACATGTTGTCAGGAGGATCCAGTCCCTGGAGAAGGACATTATGCTTGGTAAAGTGGTCAGCAAAAAAGAAGACCCCCAATGAGATGGATTGTGGTGGTGGCAGCAACAATGGACTCAAACAGAGCAACAATTGTGAGGATGGAGCAGTGTTTTGTTCTGTTGTGCAATAGGGTCGCTATGAGTTGGAAAGAACTCAACAGCACACAACAACAACAGCAAGAAGCGTGCTACAGTCTCACGTAACTATGCACTTCATCATGGCCACATAATCAGAAACATTCCATTATCTTTGCCGTTTACAAAAAAATGATATATTTTGTTATTGCAGAGACCATGGACAGCAAAACATGTACCAATTCCAGTTTGTACTTGTGTGATTTAGAGATGTTGATTACATTATTTGAGTTTTACAATCATTCTCACCTTCCTTTTCTGAGTGGTCTCTCCTGTTAACATAAGCTCACTACCCCTTAAGGTTCCAGTCTAATCTTTTTGAGTTACTGTTTTCAGTTTGATCTCATGTAGATGGATCTTGAAAGAGCACAATGCTCAAGATAGATGGCCTTGATTAGGTAGGCTACACTATTTTTAGTCTCAAGAAGACTACAGGGGATAATTCTGATTTAAGGTGTAAAGATTATTTCAGGGCAGTAGTTTCAGAGGTTCATGTAGCTAATTGACACCAGAAAGCTGAGATTCAATGAGAAGCTGACCTTTGTTTGCCATATTTCATTGGTTAGATGCAAGCACAGGCCCCACCTATACTCTTAAGCAAGGAGATCACCCAAGGATGTAAACACAGTGGTGATGGGGCCACCTTAAAAGCTTGTGTTTATCATAGGGATTTATGCTGTGCCTGTCACATCACTGTACATGAACATCATTAAAATACAATTTTTATTAAATTATACAGTAACATTTAATTTCTCAATGGTAGCATTACTCACTCTCTAGAATCGGGCTGTGAACCGCAAGGTCAGCAGTTCGAAACTACCTGCTGCTCCGCAGGAGAAAGATGAGGCTTTCTGCTCCCGTAAGATTTACAGCCTTGGAAACCCTGTATAGGGTTGCTATGGGTCGGAACTGACCCAATGGCACTTAACAACAACAACAACATTTGAATATAATCAAACCCACTTGCTCATTACCATGAAGTGTGGATGTGGTCTGTTGTTCTTAAATGCCGTTGAATCAATTCTGACTCATAGCTACCTATATAGGATGTGGTCTAAGAGGACAGATACATTTTTCTGCATTTAAGCCTGAAGGCATTAACTGAAATATAATTGTGATGTGTCTTTAGAATGGAGACATAAAACAGTTATGACTAAAGGTTGTAGGGATTCAGAAATACTTAATCTTTATTAGTTGCCCTCAAAATTTATATCATATATCACATATATATCAACAAATATACATATTTGAAGGGATGAAAATTCATTGGAAAATGGAATTAAAAGCAAATGGAATTTTTCCACAAACTTTTTGAAGCCCCCTTTTGTGTGTGTGTGTGTGTATATATATAGTGGTAAAGTGTTTGGCTGCTCACCACATGGTCAGCAGTTCAAATCCACCAGCTGCTCACATAGCGTAATGGTTACGAATCGGGCTGCTAACCTCAAGGTCAGCAATTTGAAACTACCAGGTGTTCCATGGGAGAAAGACGAGGCTTTCTGCTTCCGTAAAGATTTACAGCCTGGGAAACCCTGTGCAGGGTCGCTATGAATCGGTTCCGACTCCACGGCACATAACCACCACCACACCAGCTGCTCACATGGCAGTCTGCTTTCGTAAAGATTTTGGAAATCCTACAAGGCAGTTCTACCCTGCCCTTTAGCACACTGTGAGTCAGAAAAACTCGATAGCAATGAGTTTTGTTGTTGTTGTTTTTTTATATATATACGTAGAATAGTCTAGTAAGGATTTAGGTAGGCCAGAATGAACATTTATGTTCTGACTCTGTGTTTTCCTTTCTCCTCCCTCCCTAGGTGTGATAGCAGTTGTGATATTTATCTTGCTCTGCGTCACTGCCATAGCCATACGCATTTGCCAACAGAGATGGTTTTACCAAAAACACAGTGCCCCCCAAAATGGAGACAATGCTGAGATTTCTCTGAAAAGTGAGCTCAACCTGCAAACTATAGTCGATGAAAGTCAAAAAGAGAACTTCCTATGACTGGCAACTGTGGATCCTTTATGAGTAGGACAGTGTGACTTTCTGGCTAAGCCAGGGCCTCTCAGTGGATTAAAACCCCCATCTTATCCTCTAGAGACAGGCCATGGATGCAGCCCTGGCCCCTTGGCCACATCAGGCTCCAGAGGCAGAAGAACCTGCTCTCTTGCTTCTTTTCTTCATGATCTGCTCGTATAGCAGTGAGTAAGTGTGGTCGTGAACCACTGCTGGCAGTGTCTGCCTGTGTTGACCTGGTCTTCAAAAAGAAAATGCAATTTGCCTAATGATGGAGCAGTGGTTTAAATAAGGAAACCCTCTGAGTTATGACCCTGCCTTCTAAAAAATTGTAGCACAGATGTTTATTTTAGAAGTGAAAGTCTCAGTTGAATTCTGATGTGTTATGTTACATGGGAGGATATAATGAGGCCCCTTTCTTGATCACCTGCTGACATTTGGAACCCAGGAAATGGCCTTGACTATGAACCAGAGCCCATTGGCCAAAAGTGTATTAGAGACCTGGGGGAAACGTTTTGGTTAACTGCTTTTACTGTTTGATTCTTAAGTCAGTTTGATTTCATTTTAATCATCAAATTAGTCTGGGTGTCAGTGATGAAATTGTAGTATTGAATTCAGGTATGGAACAAAAGCCTAATAAATAGCAAAATGTGTACAGGACTTCAAAATGTGATCATTGATAAGTTGCAAATTTTTCTTTTTAGTATCTAACTATAGCCTTTGTAAATTTTAATAATGACCACCTATCATTGATCTCATAAAAATGTATATTTTCTAACTAAACCTGTGCCCAGATATAAACATTGTAGATGTATCTTTCATCCACAACTGTAGCACTTGAATGAAATATATCCTTAAACTGTTTCCCTTAAATGGGGTGAGCAGACCAGTTTTTCTTTATAGTCATATTGCTATCCTTTTCTAAAGATGTCTTCGATTATTAAGACAAAATCCCATTCAGAACTAAAGCTCTCAATTTCTCTTCCTAAAATTTGAACTGACCTAGCCAAAACTTTTCCTGAATTACCCTCTCATATAGTTGAAATTTAGAATATCAAATAATTCTCTTGCTAATTCAAATAAAATTGACTGTCTCTGGTCCTAAGTCTAGGATCATGGATCAATTTCTCATACAGAACCCAAAATCAACATACGCTATTAACTAGTTCCTGTCCTGTTAGAATTTATTCACACACCTGCAGAGCAAGTAATCCATGTCAACTGTGGGAAGTATCCCAGTAACTAAGTTTTGTGGTAGTGCTCATTAGATAACTGTATGGAGCCTCTATCTTCAGCAGAGTGTGGCACTGTAGAGTAAGCACTGGACTGCTGGCTGCAAGGTCAGAGGTTCAAACCCACCAGCTGCTCGTCAGAAACCCTATACAATGGCACTTAACAACAATAACATCAAGCCAACTGTAGTAGAAAAGTGCTGTACTATGGGTATATCACCTGTCATGAGGCTCCCAAGTATTAATTATAGATTTTACCTACATTATATATTTTATCTACCTGAAGACAAATTAGGAATTTATCTCAGAGCTTACATCTACTTTTAAGTGTTCTTTTTAAAGAGTATCCTTTAAAACAAAGAACAAAGAATCTTTATTCTTTAGTGACCCTGTAGGGTTTCTGAGGAACAATTGGTGGGTTTGGACCTCTGACCTTGCAGTCAGCAATACCCTGCTTACTCTGCATTGCCACACTCCATTGCAAACGGAGGCTCCATACAGTTACCCAGTGAACACTGCCACAAAAAGTAGTTCCTGGGACGCTTCCCACAGTTGATATCAGTTGTCTTTTCTTATGGCATTTGTATCAGCTTCCACAAATAGTTTTGTTCTTGTTAAGTGCCATCAAGATGGTTCCCACTTACAGTGATCCTGTGTATGGTTTCTGAGGAGTGGCTGGATTTGAACTGCTGGATATGTGGTTCAAACCACCCTTTCAGTCCAGTGCTTATCTTATGGCGCTACACCAGGATGTCACCCATTTATTTTCTCAGCATTCCTGTGAGTAAGGAGCTAGTCTTCAGCCAGGGTGGTGAATCTCCTTGGAGACTGATGTAGGGAAGGATCCACTTCTCCACTGACAGTAGTTTGTCAGAATTCAGTTCTTGGCTGCTGTAGGATATATGGTGACTTGTTTCTTTAAAGCCAACACAGGGGAGAGACACTCGGGAGCCTATTCGCTTGCTAGAAGGAGTCTTATGCTAGGATAAGTCAAACAGTACTACTACAAAATCATAGAAAGTTTCATGAAACAAAAATATCAAAACATACAGCTATTGTTTCTCCACATACCCTTCATCTAGATCAACACTCTTTTGAAAGTGGTGTTTCCTTCCTGCTCAACCCTTCCCCAAAGAATTCTGTGCTCTTCAATTTATACCACAATAAAATGGCAGTTTTGGCATCCTCCAAGGACTCAAATCTTGTTCCTTTTAAATGTTCTTTGAGTTTGGGGGACAAAAAGATATCTTAAATAGCAATGTGAAAGCTGTAGGGGTGAAGGGGCAATGTTTCCCAATGAAATTCTCATAGGACACTACTTGATACCCTCGAAGAATGAGCAGGTGCATTGTGGTGATAGGAAATCCCTCAGCACAACTTCCCTGGCCTTTTTTGCAACAGTCCAGTCTTCAGTTTTCTTAACACCTGTTCATAATAATCTCTTCTGATGATCCTGTGTCCTTGGAGAAAATCTATGAAGATGAACCCTTTAGAATCTCAAAAACATTCACCATAACTTCCTGAGCTAACCTCGCTGCCTTGATTGATTGACCCGGCAGATTCTCTTGAAAGCCACTGTTTTGAATGAGGTTTTGTGAAGGTACTCTAAGGAGACTAAGACAAGTGTATTGCTGAGAACACATGTCTGTAGCCATCCACTGATCCCAGAAATATGTTTAAACATGTTTTGTTTGGAATCAACCTGAGCACTTATGAACTGGAACCCTGGTGGCAATACTTTTAGCTTATCCTCGTAACATAATCCGGCTGACTGATTGGAAGAGATCCGTATTTGTGCCAATTCCAAACAGAGGTGACCCAATGGAATGTGGAAATCATTGGACAA